GTAATTCTATACCTAGGTATATGCCAAGAGGAAATATCAACATCTGTCCACACAAAAACTTGTACAGGAATGTTCATAGCAACCAGGCACAGTCGTGAGCACCTGCAGACCTAGCTACTCAGAGGCTGAGGCAGGAGAATCCCTTGAGTCCATAAGTTCAAGACTACCCTGGACAACACAATGAGAACCCATCTCAGAAAAAAAGAATATCATTGTTCATAATAACCAAAAAAGTGGAAATGGCTCTAATGTCTACCAACTGATTTGAATAAACAAATGAGTTAGGCCCGGGGAGATAGCTCAGTGGTAAAGCACTTACCTACATGCATAAGGCCCTTGGTTCAATCCCCAGCACCACATTAAAATAAATAAATAAGGCCGGGCAGGGTGGTGCACACCTATAATCACAGTGACTTGGGAGGCTAAGCCAGGAGGATCTCAAATTCAAACGCAGCCTCAGCAAAAAGTTGAGGTGCTAAGCAACTCAGTGAGACCCTGTCTCAAAATACAAAATAGGGCTGGGGGTGTGGCTCAGTGGTCAAGTGCCCCTGAGTTCAATCCCCAGTACCAAAAAAATAAACTAATTAATTAAATAAAATAAACAAACCAAATAAAAGGAGAAAAATAAATAAATGAGGTATTATCCAAACAATGGAATATTATCAATATTGCTATACGCTAACATGGATGAACCTTAAAAACATGCTAAGTAATAGAAGCCAGTCACAGAAGACCATATCTTTTATGATTCCACCCACATATATGAAACATCTAGAATAGGCAAATATATACAGACAGAAAGTAGATTAGTGATTAACAAGGACTGGGGGAGAGAAGAAAGGAGAATGACTGCTAGTGGGTATAGGGTTTTTTGTTTTGGCTGGGTAATGAAAATATTCTAAAATTTATTGTGGTGATGTCTGTATAACTCTAATAAAAGGTACTGAACTGCATCCTTTATATGTGTGAATTATATGGTATGTGAATTAATCCTCAATAAAGCTCTTAAAAAAATACATCATCATCAAGCTTGCTTTTCATCTATTGCTTCTAAAACATTAAGCTCCAAGGCACTGATTTTATCTCTAACTTTGAACTAAAGACCACAAGTAGTGAGATTATTTCAAGGTTACTTAAGATGATGTGCATAGGAAGCAGTCTCAGAGGCAGGCTGATGGAAGTCAGGCCCACTTGGTTCAAGTACTAGCCCAGGACAATACCCACGCTTCAGCATTCCATGGAGACCTATTACACAAGATACAGAGGCAGCAGCTCCCTAGCTGGCCTCCCCACTTATACCCACACCCTCCATGGACCCACTCCCTACACTTTACATTCCTGCTCAAACTTCCAAATCTCCGTCATTTGGGGCTCACATTCCTCTTTCCCTGCATATTTTTGCTGCAGGCACACTGGTCTCCTCACTGTGTTTCATCACACTAGACTATTCTTTTCCCCAGGACCTCAACACCTAGCTGCTCTTTTTGCCTGTAATGCTCTTATCTTGGCCTACTCTCTCCCTCACACATTTCCAGTTTCTGCCTAACCATCAAAGATCCCCCTGTCTAAAACTATGATGCCCCCACCCCATCACTCTCTGGCTTCTTAGCCTGTTTTATTTTTCTTTGTTGCACTTAGCGGTACCTGAAATTCTTTCTAATTTATTGGTTATTTTGGTGTGCCTTCTCGATGGAACATAAAGACTGACTTGGGTCCTATGGACCTTATTATTTTCAAGGTCTGAGCACTCATGCATTTGTAAAATTAAATGTGGCTGGCAGCAATCAACCCAGCCTGCCTATCACCTTCTAGTCTCCCCAGTGCTCCTGATGAACTGTCAATCACAGGACCCAATTTATAAAAAAAAAAATTT